GTTCAGAAACCAAGATAATATTTGAGTCTCACATTGAATTAGATTGTAATCCTTGCAGTGGATGCCTATTTGGAGATGGAATTGACATCACCAAAATACTAATGAAGCCACCCATAATTAATACCTCATCCATGTTTGGAAAAAAGGGGTACGAAAACATAAAGACTCTACTAGCATGCTCTGTTCTTTAGACAAGTTCAGGTGTAGCTGGGCTAATAAAAAGTAGAAATATGGCAAGGTTTAGGATAGACAGTGAGTTAACATGGCCATTGTGCTGTCGACTGGTGCTTACTGTTATCTTGGTAATGTTAAGCTGATCAAACTTTAATCAACAAAATCTGCAACGTGCATATTGTTCCTCAGGGCATATTCGCAGCCTTTCAGTACTCTTTGCCTTCCCTGAGAAACATGTATGAGAATCCAAGAGCAATAATAATAGCTTCCAGTTGCCTCTTGAACTAATTGGGTGGTAAACATTCCATATAATGTAATTGGAATACATCCATTGCAAAATATATCCACTGCAGTATATCATGTGCTGCACTTGTTTTAGATAGAAAGTTTAAAGTCTTGTCTAATAAGCTACTCTGGAATTGCTACTTCACTTGTAGTAGAAATACTACCATTATATTGTGACTGAGTTTTCATGTCTGTTTCAGTGGATAAGACACTATTTTGGTGGCTATGTCTAGCTGCAGCTACATGGATATGCTGTTATGTTTCAGCATTGAAGGGAGCCCTCTTATGGCAGAAAACAGAAAAATTTCTAAACAAAATACAGTACTGTACAGTATAGCCAAGAGTAATAAGCGTGCATTAACATAGCGTTGGGGAGACTCTGTCTCCTTTTCTTGCTTTGTTGTAAAAAAAGGATCTACCATATTTAATCCTTTCAGATAACATTCCATTCAAGCAGTACAGTACAATCATGTTAATTTGTTCCCAATTAAAGTTAATTAGTAACTTACGCATACACACTCATCAATGGATGTTCATATGAAGAAAAAAAAGTCGTGTTAGCTACAAAATTTTGAGAAAGTGTATAAAAGAAACTATTGCATGAAATACAACAGTAAACCTGCTAGATTTTCATTAAAGATTTTTGTTTCATTCATTTTCCCCACACCCCATCATCCTTAAGGGATAATAGGATGTTGGAATTACACTCTTCTCCTTTCTCAGCCCTATCACGGTTGTGGGAAGGGGAGGTTCTTGTTACCCTGAAGTTAAGTGCCACTAAGCTCAGCAGTGCTCAGTCCTAAATAAACAGCTATAAGGACTGTTGCCTGAAACAAAGCCACCTAGAAGTAGAACCAGGATTTAAAAAATAGGAAGACGTATTCAATCGGTTTGTTGACATCATCTTATTAGAACCAAAACAAGAAGGAATTAAAATGTCAGGAGGAAGGGAGTCAGATTTACTTTGTAGGAGAACTTGTTTCAAGATTTGAGCATCACAGTCAAGAAAGGCATGTCCCATGACCCAACAGCAGCATTTCTGCGACACTGCCCTTTATCTCCATGCACAGGTATGCAGTTATTTTATTTATTGATTTGTAAGATTTATATACTGCCTATCAGCAGTGTTTCTAGAGTGACTGAGAAAACAAGGTCAAACTTAAAAAATCAAAATAAAATGTGTGATTAAAATAGCAGTGCAGTTACATATATGGAAGCACAAAGGTCAGCATATATTAAACACATTACATTTTTAGGTTTGGTTGGTTTGAAGAAGGAAGAAAAGGGGAATTGAAAAACCCCAACAGTTTTGAAAATGTTATATATCTATTCTTACCTCTAGTAGCAAGGATGGAGCAGTGAGGAGATTGTGCCTCACTCATAGTACTCCTAGTGGATACTTCCAATTTTATTTCTTTAATTTTTCATATCAGTCCTAGTCTAGGTAATCACAAATTTGTTCTAGCATTAAATGCAGTTAAGAACACTGAAATCAGGGAGCTCACAAGCTCTTTCTGCTGAATGAATTTTGGACATACTGGTTTATTTTTTTTATATAAGACAAAAAGGCTTCCATGTCCAACTTGATAAAACCCGAAATGGCCAAATCTGTACTGTTAAAGACTGGACTTTATATCTTACTGCAAATTACCTTCATCAAAGGGACTTATGTTTACAAAAAGGATCAAGCTGGTTCTGACGTATGGCAACCCTTTCCAGGGTTTTCTAAGTAGAGAATATTTAGTAGTGGCTTGCATAAGTGAAACTACACACTAATGGCATTCTCTGCACATTGGAGGGAGGTGGAGATACAGTTGTCTTCCAGCTGAGTTTCACTTGACACAGACCTTAGTACTGTACTACTCAGTGGTAAATTTTGAATTTGCTTATTTCTAAATCAATTAATATGTGTACATATGCCAGGGTTAAATTCATACTTTGAAGAAAGATGTTCCTAATTTCTAATGGGGTTGAAGGGGGCCTTTTAAAAAAAATGAAGTGGCAGATAGTTACTTTATATAGTAGCTTGTGGATCTAACTCATGTGTAAGGTTCTTTTGGCATGCCAGCTTTGAATAGGTGCCACACCCCACATGAATAGGTGCCACAATCCAGATGTGTGACATCATGTAGAAAACTGTGGGAGGCATGAGTTTGTTGCTGCTTTCTTGCAACCGAGCAAAGATAACTTTGTTCAGAATGTGGTGTAAACTGCATAGAACATGTCCTGAGAAGAAAGGAGTCTATGGTTATGTAGTGCATTGTTCAGATCAGTTCAGTGAAGCACTTCTGAGTTGCTATTTTCTCCAGAGTTTCAGGAAAAATGCAAATCCCTTCCTCCTAGTGGCGTCTAGGTTTCTCCTAGAGAAACTTTAGTGCTTAATTTTCCTAAAGAGAAAATATAGTTTCTTGATCTGTCAGGCTTCCAGCATCAACATTCCTCATGAACTCACTGATGAATGGCATTGACTAACAAATATGCATATACAGTGTGGTCACAGTCCAGTGTGGAATGAAGCACCCTTCAATTCATTGAAATCAGTTGGCTTAACTCTGACAGGATGTGGTCTTATGTCCTATGCTTCCCACAAAATTGGGAGCAAAGTTCATGCCTTTCAAGAAAGGTAGCAACTCTGTTTTATATGCTTGTCATCCAATCAACTTCAGAATGATAATAGCTAAGCTATATTCTAATCATGTAACATGGTAGCTACTCTCTCTGGGTAGATCCCATGCTTTAACAGTAGCATATAATTCAAGTCATACTATAGGACGAGTCTTTAAGATAGGTAAATGTTTCCCTTGACAATTTTTGTCCAGTCGTGTTCGACCCTAGGGGGCATTGCTCATCCCCGTTTCCAAGCCATAGAGCCAGTGTTTGTCCAAAGACAATCTTCCGTGGTCACATGGCTGCTGCAACTTAGACACAGAATGCTGTTACCTTCCCACCGAGGGGGTCCCTATTTATCTACTTGCATTTACATGCTTTCGAACCGCTAGGTTGGCGGGAGCTGGCACAAGCGACAGGCGCTCACTCCGTCGCGTGGATTCGATCTTACCACTGCTTGGTCTTCTGACCCTGCAGCACAGGCTTCTGCTATTTAGCCCGCAGCGCCATCACATCCCTTTAAGATAGACATTTACACAAATCCAGTAGAAAGTCACAGCTAGAGTAAGCCCACTGAAGCAGTTTGGATTTTATGAATCAACTCCTTTCTTAAGTTCCTTTGGTTCAAATGGGTCACCTCCAGTTGTGATTGACTATTTGATTTCGGCCACAGCATCTTAAGAAGTCTATTTGTTATTTGAATGCTATGATCTGCCTGTCACATAGACTGCACTTAGTCATTATTGCTCCAGCATGGGATCCCATCATAAGAAAATAGGAGCCACAGCATGGGGAAAAATGGATGCAGATTATGGATGAGGAGTTAGGAGGCAGCTGTGTGTATTTCACAGAAGCTGATCATCATTTGTTGGTTGTGTTTTCCAGTGTTTGTGTGTTTTCTGAGTCTAACTGCTCTTCTGCTGAGTAACACAACAGGCTTATAGTAGGTGGCACCCTGAGAGGAACTGTTCAGTTAAGCATTTCTCATGTCTGGAATAAAAGACTACCCAGAAGGGTTTTCCCATTCACTTAAGTGAAGAAGCATATTAGCAAATTCTTTCTTTTATGAACACAGATCTTCTTTTCTTTTTGAAGTAATGGGCCAGTATGTGTACGCAAAAGCTATGTGTATATGTCGAAATACACGTGTAGCTGTGGTTCAGGCAAAATTCCTTTATAGTAGAAGGTTTTGTGCTCAATCATATGTGCCGAGAAGGACGATCCACCGTAGAATCCTATTCCCTTACATGATGATGTAAGAGTAATAATATAGGCATTTCCCTCTGGTAGACTCTCCTTCACGCTTCTGCACATGCATTGGTTTTTAAATTGGCCATGGATGACTGATAGTGTAAAGGATAGCCTGCTGGAAGAGGAAAACTGCTGTCGCGTTACTCTTACGTGCATGGTTTTTCTCAATTGGATTTTGATCACTGAAAGTAATAGGAACTGACAACCCAATAAGTGTGCTTAGGCTCAGAGTGCCCGTCACTTACCTTAGTCTTGGCTTTATTCATTCAGAAATATTTCTAAAGAATCTCCTGTAGGTTTAGTGTCTATACCTAACTGCTTTCTGGCATTTTTACTCATGGCAGGTTGTCTAAAGCTATTCAGTTGCCCTCCAGGGAAAAGTTGTGTTCTAGCTGTGCACTGCAAGATTCCAACCACCAGATGTGGCATTCTTGACCCCAAGTTTTTCATATGCTTAGGCAGGGCAGTGCTCCTATCCTGATGCTCTTCCTCTTCTGCTCATCGTCTTCATCTTCCACACACACCCATGCACGTGGCTCTGGACCGCTCATCATGTTCTTCTTGTTTGAAACCCCATTGTTCATTTGTTTGTTGTTCTCTTCTCTCTCTCTCTCTCCTCTCTCTCTCTCTCTCGCTTTCTTTGTTTTCTTTTCCTTTTTGTCTCCTCTGTTTTGTATACCCAGGCAGCCCATTGAGTAACTTCTTTGACGTAATTAAACAACTTTTTTCAGACGAGAAGAACGGGCAGGTGAGCCATCCCCCCGGCACGCCAACCAAGCATAGCGCAAACAGCAAGCGGAGCGATTCCGATGCTAATGACTATGGGTCTAGAGGAGACACTAAGTACCCCGCTGGCAAAGAGAAGGCAAAGATGGTCTCGTCACTCGGCCTACAAGACCAACCTTAAATAAATGAATTTCTTTTTTTAAAAAAAAGAAAGAAAGAACAGATTAAATAACTAAACAGAAAAAGTCAGGAAAACCAAATGAATGAGTATTCTTTAGCAAGCTAACCTCTAAAATAGACAGATGTATATACATTGCTGCAACAATACAAAACTGTCTATAGACAACTTTTGTATGAAGGAATGACTGTATATATATACATATATAGATATAGATAAAACACACACATACACATATATATTTATATGATATAATATTTATCTCTGAAGCAACACAAAAGCAACGAGAAAAGAAAAAAAAGGTAGCACAGATGACAAATCCCATTTGGCAAATCTTGGGTCCCCCTTTTTTTCCCTCCTCCCGGTTTGTTTCTTTTCTCTTCCTCTCACTTTTGACCTCTCCTCCCCCCCTCCCTGCCCATTGCCATTTTTGTTCTTGTTCTCTCTGAGTTTCTGACCACCACCGCTTGTTTCCACTCTGCTACCAGGAATTATCCCGAAAAGTTAACATGCCAACCCAACAGCTTCACCTTCTGTGCTCTGCGAACACTTGTTCACGGAAGGCTGCTGATGTAAGACTCTACTCGGACTGGTTCTGTTTGGGGACACCCAGCCTCCCCCTCTCTCACTGCAGGAAATGGGTCTCCTCCTGTCCACTGGCCCTCAGCTCACGCTTTTCTTTTGGTGCTCTGCGCTGAAGAACTGCTCAGATACAACCTTTCAGAGTTGGAACATACTGGAGAAGCATCTTAGCTCTTCCCCTCGGGCAAACCCAGACCACCGTGGCTGGGGGTTGGGGCGGGTGGGGAGATGGGATATCATGACATATTCAGGCTGTTCTCTCATTCAAAACTGGGATGTTTTACAAGAGGAAATTTGTCCTCCTGGTTCTTTCTCCCCCTTGCCCTGCTCCCTTTTTTCCTCCTTGCCCTGTTACCCTTTTTCAAATTGTGTTTGTGTTTTTATTATCTTAAACCACCACCCTTTTTTTTTTAACCTCCTGGAGGGGCAGGACATAAGCTAAGAGAAAACCCCAAAAATGGAAGTCAGACAAATAAGAACATTGAAACTTAGGGAAAGGGCAGCTTTCGGCAGTGAGGAGGAGGGAGGAGAATCCACCTGTCTGAGGACAATCTCTTCTACTGCCAAGTGCTGTTGCCATTATCACCCTTCTCTTCTACTGCCAAGTGCTGTTGCCATTCTCACCATCATCGCTGCTGCTGCTGCTGCTGCTGTTCCTCCTTCTCAACTCCGTCTCTCCCTCAGTTCCTTCCTTCCATCCTGGGAGTTCCTTCTACCAGCTGAAATCTCTGCTGCATCGTGCATTTGGATGCAACTATTGTGTCGTTAGTGCTGCATCGATATATCAGTATTCTTTATTTGCTGGTTTGTTTTATTTATTTATTTATTGGGTGTGCGTGCACGTATGTGTGTGTGTGTTTTATTGCAAAAGAAGAACATGAAACGAGTAATTTCTCCCCTCCTGTCTGTGTGTGTATGTGTGCGTGTGCGTGTGTGAGTGTGTATGTGTGTGTGCGTGCACACGCGCATGCACGTACAACCACTGGTCCTTGATTCATCTGAGCAAGATATGGAGGAGATAGCACTATGGGCGACCTAAACACAAAGCTACTGTAAAGTTTTAAAAGTATTGCAAGATATTTTTCTAAGCTTTTTTTTTTTCAAGAAGGGTGGGTGGGTGGAATTTTCTTGTGTGTGTTTAAGTTATGATTAGGTTTTGGTTTTTATTTATAATGCATATATATATAAATATATATATTTAAAAATTTAAGCTGTTAGATATATCTTCTGCTTTCATTACTGTGTAGAGGTGACACTGATTCTTTTTTATTTTGGAGAGGGGGGGAAAGAATGATGACAAAGACCACTTAACATTCCTCTCACCAACATTTCAATTTTTTCCATGTATGTCTCTTTTTTTCCTCTCTCTCTCTTTTTGTCCAAGTGTATCCAGATCTGGCCCACATTCAAAAATACCTAAACCATAATCATATGTGTCAAAGACAAAAAAAACAGCAGGAGAAATTCTACTTTACCAATATGTTTTAAAATGTAGATTTAGTATAAGTGTTAAATTCTCTTATTACCTTCAATTGCTGTTTGTTGGGTTCCTATGAGTGTATGTTATACTGCAAGATTTTTAATGATAATATTAGATTTCTACTTCAGTCTTATTTCCTTTTTTGTTTTTTGTTTTTTGTTCTGTTTTGGTTGTTTGTTTCTTTTATGTCTTCGTTCTTTATGTATTTCTGTATCTGTTTATTTATTTGCCCCTTCTTGCACCTGTTTTTCTTGTACATAGGTTTGGAAAAAAAGATTTTTTTTTTGAAGAGACACAAAAGTGGGAGGGTGTTTTGTTCGTTCATTTTTTTTCTTAATCGGAAGCTTTTCTCTTGTATTGCTGTGTGCATGTCAGACACTGAGAGGCTGATGGCTAGGGATGGAGGGAGGGGAAGAGACAAGAGGTTTGGGGGCAGTTTTAATTGCATGATATTGCTGTAAATTAGTCTCTTTTGCTTTGGTTGTCTTTTCTGCCTCCACCTTCTCCTTCCCTCTCCCCCAAGGCTCCCTTCCACCACCCTCAGCCTTTTCCCCTCTTTTCTCTTCCCTTGTGTATAGATTTTGATGCTTCTGTTACATTGTACCTCTACAAAAGGCTGGGATTTCAATACAGAATAATACTAATAATACTAAGACTAATAATAATAATAATACAGCAAAACCCATATGGTACAAGCAGGAAGGGAATTACTTACACAAGACATAAGAATAAATGAAAGCAATACCTCTTGTTATCCTTCCTATTTTGTACTTTGAAGACACAAATACACACGCACACACGCGCACACATGCAGACACAAACTGACATTATTTAACAGTTCAAATGGACAAAGAAGAACCTTCTGATGTATCCCTTGTTAAATAACTGTGAGCAACTTTAGTTCAAAAACAATAAATTCATTCAGAAAATAAACTGGCTGTCCTGGTCTTTTGTTTCTGTCTGAGACTGGCTTGACAGAATCTCCTTCATCATAAAAAAAAAAGGCTTAGGTGAGTACTGTTTCAAAACTTTATTAAGCCCAGTTATTACTTTTTTTAAACATTAGAGCAGAATGCTCTTATATAAATCCTGAACAAGTGATGTGCAAGTGCTGAGCTGTAGACCTACCTGGGTAGCATGAGAGGCATTGCTCACTAGAAATATTTACCAGGGATGGGGACGTGGGTCGTCAGACTCACTGTCAAGTTGGTCTCAAGTGGACCCGGTGACTTGACTCAGATTTGATTTAAGGACAGACTTGAGATTTCTAGAGTAACAGAACTAGTTGGGAAGTGGCCTCACTTCATCAATGCAGATGTTATATTTTGATTCCTTGCATGTTGGAATTAGGCATCCAGTTGTAGAATTTGCAGTAGAAGAACTATCCAGAACCTATGATCTCATGAGTTTTCCAATCTCACAAATAGTGAGAAGAACTATTTCCTTAAAAATAACAAGTTAAAGATAGGCATAGAGAGAAATATTTGTTCATGGGATTGTTTACCTTTTTAAAAAAGCTACCTTCTAGAACTGTAATTCCCAATCTGTGGTACACGTACCTCTAGGGATATGAACCAAGATATTTAGGGAGACATGGAAAAAAATTGAATAAAGGTGGGAAAGGCACACAAGTAACCATGCGGCTTTCCACTTGTGGAAACTCATTGGTTGTTGAATAGCGCAAAGTAAATCACAGGCAAATTTATTAGTTTGTCTCCCACCGGGGCCCATTGAGTGGCAGATGGTCTTGTTTTTTGCCTGCCCCTTTGCCTTGGCCAGTTTCCTGCCAGGAACGAATACTGAGGCAGGGCCTGGCTCAGAGCTGCTGAAGGGAGGAGGGAAAGGAGTGTTTCGGCTGAGTGCCACAGACTTAATTCTCAACCTTCCTGGCTTTGTAAGGCCTGAAAGAGGGCAGGTGAAAAGGTGAGGTGTGGGAGTTAATAAGAGGCATTTATGGGGGCCCTGGTGGAGGAAGGCCTGGAAGTCAATCCCTGCCCTCAATGCTTCCCCTTGTTAGGGTTCAAATATAAGAGCCTTCTGGTGCGGTGGTTAAACTGCACTACTGCAGTCAAGCCTCTGCTTATAACCTCAGTTCAATCCCGATGGATTCAGGTAGCCAGCTCAATATTGACTCTGTCTTCCATACTTCCAAGGTCAATAAAATGAGTACTCAACTTGCTGGGGGTTGGGTGGGGACAAAGTGTTGTTTGCATACTTACGTTGTAAACTGCCCAGAGAGTGCTTTAGATTTATTTATTTGTTTGATTTTTATCCAGCCCATCTAGACCAAGGGTCTACTCTGGGCTCTATGAAGTGGTATATAACTCAAAACAACAAGAAGCAATCTATTACTCATGTTTTCCCGTTCTTTTAAACCTTCTTCAGTTATCTTTATCAGTAAGATCATAAAAAAATTATCTTAGGCAAAATCTTCATTTTATGTACCACTATTTTATTAAACCATAAAAGTCAAATTTTCCTAAAATCATTTAACTTGTTTTTAATGTCTTGCTTCAGTTTTTAAAAATTCTCCTTTCAATATTTCAAAATTTATTGGAACATTAACACCTAAATAGTTAAAGAGACTTTCAAATATTGATATCAAAATCTTTTCTCATTATTTCTTTTCATCTTTACTAATGTATAATTGAACTACATAATCTCTGATTTATGTCAATTTATCTGTAGCCTCATTATCCCTCCAGTTTCTTTTAAATATAATTTTACTCTACCCATGACATTTAATGGGTTTTCGGTTGTTAATGAAGCATCATCAGCAAATAAACTAATTTTACATCGATCTTTAATGCCAGAAATTAATTTATCCTATCTAATAAAATTTGCTAGCAATTCTGTAACTAAAGCAAATGCCATCTTTTTCTGTCTATAAGATGCTACTTTTCCCTAAAATCATTACACTAAAAATTGAGGGGCATCTTTTACACAGAAGTAAGCTGAGACAGCTGAGGAAAAAACAAAATGGCACATGCCTTGCCTCTGTAAACAGGCTTCTGTAAACATACAGGAGAGTTTCCTACAGACAGGAGACTTGGCTTCCTCCAGCCACAAGCCTTATGGAACTGACATTGGAACACACCTCCTTGGAGGCGGAGCCTGTAAACTCAAGATTCAATGGAGACTCAAAATGTCCAGTGTTCTGAGCCCTGAGGCTGAATCCTCAAAGATAGGTTTTCTTAATCTTTGGGTTAGAAAATTGGGTTGTGTGTGTGTGTGTGTGTTATAAATGGGTGTGTGTTATAAATGGAAAAATACTGTACAGTAATACCTGGGAAAGGGGACATCCTTGTCTAGTACTGTGGCCTAAGGCTATCCTATTATTCCATCATTTGTTAATACTGCTGGAGTATTCTCTGAATATAATTGATTTATCATACCTTCACATTCTTCCTCCAAACCTTTTATTTTTATTATCATTTTTAAGATTGGCTATTCCATGTGATCAAATGCCTTAAAAATATCTAGTGAAATTATTCCTGCTTTTTCCTTTTGTTTTCTTATTGCATTTATTATGTGTAAAACTCTTCTAGTCAAATTTGCCTTTATTCTTCCTATCCTAAAACCACTCTAATCTTCTTTGACATATTTAGTAATAAAGTTGTTCATTCTCTGTGCTAATATTGCTGTAAATATCTTAGTGTCTTGACTTATTAATGAAATAGGCATATCAGTTCCAGGGTCAGTTGCATCCATATTTATTTTTGGAATTAATATAGTCAGTGAATATTTCCAAGTTAATGGAATCTTTTCACCTTCCATTATTTTATTTAAAAGAAACTTTAATTTGTATACCATCATGTTCCTGAAAATGTTATAATACCCCAGTCCCAAGCCATCCATTCTTTGAGTCTTTTCTGCTTTTAATTTATTATTTCCTCTGTCTCCTCTTCTCTAACTTGCTGCAGTTAGTTATGATTCTTCTATGATGAAATAAGGGCAAAATATTATGAGTGACAATGTTAATACTAAAATATTCACAGAGACCCACTAGCTTTGCCTAGGATGACTAAATGCAACAGGACTTTTACCTCCTTAAATATTTGTGTAGATGAAGAAAGAATTTTTGGCAAACTATAAAGTGGG